AAAACCATTTATTTCCTTCTCCTCCTCCCGCCACCCCCTGCCTTTCGTGGGCAAATTTCGCCTGAATTAAAAGATCCGGGGCTAAGATTGAAAAGGGCGCTTACCCTTAACGGTGGAGGACTGAACAAGGTTAGGGTGGCTGTGGGGAGGGAGGTGGGGGGTAAATTGGGGTTAAAAGCTAGGAAAAGCGGGTGTGGAGAACGGGTTTCCCGTTTGCAGACCCGGAGGAGCCGAAGGGCCGTGACGCTGCCCCGGCGCCTTGAGGTCTGCAGGAGGCGGCCGAGAACGGCAAGTCCCTTACCCTGGGGGTTGCTTGTGCTGTGCAGGGTACAGGAGAGCATTTTTAAGCATTTAGAGTTTCAGTCTCCAACTGAAAAGTCTGGAAAGCACTGTGATAGTCATCTCCCAATTTTTGTATCGGTAGACTTTCAGGTTTGCAGGGTTACTCTGAAATCTGTCGGTCCCTCATGCTACAGCTAGATTGGATCTTGAGGTTTGAATAGTCAGTATGACTAGAACAGTATTTAAGTCTGCTCTTAACTATTTGCTGAATCAGGGCCTTCTGCCGCATGTCTCCTGTAGAATAATGGAGTATTTTTGTATGTGACTTGGTTTTTGAAATAGTCTATTTGGATAATCGCACATGAAGCAGCTTTGGATGTGGGTGAATTCTTAAAAGGCGTGAGCTTGAGGCATGTGCCTGCCTTCTGCAAAACCCAAATTGTTGCAGTTTCTGGAAAGACCACTGTGAAGTCTAATGAGTTAACTCTGTTCCCAAGAAATGTGCACTTTTCCCTCCTTCACGCCTATAACAGGTGAAGGCAATTCAGTTATCGTGGTTTAAAACAAAAACGACTTTACTCACACTATCATGAATAATTTCAAGCATTTTAGAGCCTTTGGTTTCTGTTTGTTTCATCTGCACTCTCAATATGCTACGCAAAACTGATTAAGTGAGTTATTTCAGTTTCATTTTCAGTTTCACTACTGGAGTCTCAAATAGCCTGGGGTTGTGGGGTTTTTTGTTTGTTTTTTTTTTTTTAATCCAGAATCAATTATTTTAATTTCATTCTTATTTAGAAGTTTCAGGAAAGCTTTTTTAGTTACTACTTCTTTTTAGCATAATTTGGAAATCTGCTTCACAGAGGATACTCATCTGTGCAGGACAGTCTAGGTAAGCAGTATAAATATGTAGGCATTGATATGGATACGTAAGATTTCTGTATCTGTTTTTTTTTTTTTAATCCAGAATCAATTATTTTAATTTCATTCTTATTTAGAAGTTTCAGGAAAGCTTTTTTAGTTACTACTTCTTTTTAGCATAATTTGGAAATCTGCTTCACAGAGGATACTCATCTGTGCAGGACAGTCTAGGTAAGCAGTATAAATATGTAGGCATTGATATGGATACGTAAGATTTCTGTGTCAGTTTTAAGTGAATTTATTATGCACAGGTATTTACAGGATAGGTGCTTTAGCTTTGGACAGTATTCTAGGAACTAAAGACATTTTTCTCAGATGCTATCCTGTCTATATTTAGAAATTGCTTTTCTATAACATTCCAAACAGGCAAAACCAATACAAATTGAGCTTCTGTGTCATGTTTAGTTCTCCAAACTCCTGGGGTTCATACAGTGAAGAAGCATTAAAAATACTCTGGATTATGAACTGTACCTCATACTGGGAAAGTAATTATAAAGGATCCATAATTCTTGGACGTAAGTCTGCCAAGATTGAGACACTCAAGGTATAAACCTACTCCTTGCTGTTATTAAATTTATCTGTTGTAAAGTACAGCTCCAGAGAAATACTTTGTCACTTTCTGGATTCAAATAAAATAGCAGACATAAATTATGGCATTTTGTGTGCTTATATATAAAATATACTTACATGAAGAGTTTATGCATGCTGGTATAATTTATTTTTATCACTATATATGAGGCATCCCTTGCACTGATAAATATTCTTTGTGTTGTGTTTCCATTCCCCTAGTTACTGTTATGCTACAAAGTGGATGTGATTTCTTCTATTTAAAAAAGTTGCATAGCAAGAATGTGTTGTATTTCGGTAATCTTTCAGCTGTGATGAAAGCCATAATTATGTATAAAATTAAACCGAATATACTCTTGTGTCTTCTAGTACAGAGGCATAAAAGGGACACCACCTTGACGATTTTCATAACGTACACTTCCTTTCAGAGGACTTGTAGTATGTTTCAGCCTCTAAATACTTTGAGTTCTGTCACAACTTTAACATAGTTTTTGGTGAACCTCTTTGTTTCGTGATGAGTTGTGACCCTTAGGAGGCAAAAAGGCAGTCAGGAGACTGCTTGGACTTCCCCAAGATTCCTAAATGTTTCAAGAAATTTGGAATAATTTTGGGGAAGGAATGAAATAAGGGGGACACAGGTTAGATGCTTTCTGCTCAACCCGTCTGCTGTAAATCTTCTGAATGAGACAAATGGTTATATTGATGTAAACCTACATGAGAAATAAGATCCTTGTCTTTAATTTTCTTACGAACATTTTCATGTGTCATAGTGCTTATCGAAGATGATAAAATGAATTATGTACATATTTCTAATGAATTACGTACATATTTCTAGAAGCTATAGAAATCTGCATAAAATTACTTCTTTTGAAAGAGCACAAACAAAATTTTCGTATTGGATATCTGTAACTACACTTTTGTAACTTTTTAAAGTACCTCCATAGCTGGTTGCATTTTTCAGAATCTGAAGCTTTAGGTATTGCAATAATTTTCACAATGAGGTAGTATGTGAAAATGTATGTGACTGGTTTTGGAAGTTTTCATCTAAACCTTGCCGATTTTATAGAACAAATATTAATTGATCTATAAATAATGAAAAATTGAACATTAAATTGATCTAATGTCATGTGCCGTGAACTTGCTTTCTATAGCTCACATACTTGCTTCTAATTAAAGAAGATAGGATATCTTCTGATAGGAAGATCTGCAAAATATTCCTGAAAACTTCATAACTGTGAGTGTAAAATCCTTAAGTGAGGTCTCAGGCACTTATAAGGTTCTTGACTTTGGAAACAATCCAAGTGTTACCTTATAGAACCTGCATTCATATACTTTGGTGGCTCACACTAGGCTATGTGAAAGTGCTGCTGAGCCTGACCTTATGTGACTTTATCTCCCCCATCTCTTTAAAATAATTGAGACTGATTAAGTTGTCCTTGAATCCCACCTTGATATATCAGCTTACCTTCAATAGGGAAGTTCTTGCCCCTGAACTGCCAGTGGAAGTACTTCATTCGGAGTCCTTCTGTATTATTATTTGAAGTGTTATCTAACACCCTTTTTTCAGCACTTATAATCAATGGGGTTCACCCTTCTTCTGGAGTTTTTCTCCTTTTGGATTACCTTCTCTTTCCCTTTGAGCTGTTGGATGAAATCTTAGTTTTTTTGTCTGTTACTCTGGTTGCCAGGAAATTAGCACACTGGAAAATAGTGCTCTCATTTAATAAGCAAAATATGTGAACAGCACCTCTAGCCAGCTTGTTATTTAATAGGTAAAATTAATTGAAGGACTTTTTTTTTGTAGGAAACTCCAGCTGTAATAGAAAAAACAGCCTTTGTGCTAGTGTACTACAGTTACATCCTGCTTTATTATACATATGCAGCAAGATTTAGTTAACGTAGTTTATAAGTGGTGCTCACTTCACTGTGTAGTATAAACCAGAGGAAAAGGAATAACTAGATTTTAATTTTTGGTGTACTGCTGCACTTTTTACATTTATTTATTTATTTTTCAAACCAACACTTTATAGTGTTAAATTTCTACTTGTTTTCCTACAGCAAATCCTAACAATAAATGCTCAGAACTTGTACAGTAGATTGCTTTT